GAGGGGCTGAGCCGAAGGCCTTTCTTAGCACCAGTGCAAACAATCTAAGAAGAGAAATTAATACACTTGCTTTAACCAGTAAGTAAATTGATCCTATCATGACAACTATTTTTCTACTGAGATGGTTTTCATTGCGTTTACCACCAAAACCTACGTTCTTTAAATGCTTAGCTATAACTACTTCATAACCTTTTGTTTCCTACTACTTGCAACAAAATCAGAATAAAACTTTTGACTCAATTACATAAAGATAAATTTAAAGCTAAGGACAAGGTGGAGCCCATAGCTCAGTGAGTAGGGTGCTGGCCACATACACCCAGGCTGGCGGGTTAAAGTCCTGCCCAGACCTGCTGAAACAACAATGGGAATGGCAACAATAACAACAAAAATAGTCGGGTGTTGTGGAGGGCGCCTGTAGTCCCAGCTACTCCGGAGGCTGAGGCAAGAGAATTGCTTGAGATCAAGAGTTTGAGGTTGCTGTGAGCTGTGATGCCACAGCACTCTACCCAGGGCAACAGCTGGAGACTGCCTCAAAAAATAAAAAGAAAAAAGAAAAAAAGCTAAGGATAAAAAGTAAATCATTTATGTATTAACCTTATTTTCATTTCTCCCAACTGCAATCATGATTCTTTTGTCATTGAAATCATTAACTAATGCACCAAATTAATTTGATAAATCTAAGAAATGAAATATTCCATACATATGGATGTCCAGATGACAAATCATATTTTAAAACTATTAGAAACCATTTTGGGCTGAAATGTTTCCAAAATGAATCACTCGTAACCTCACCCTTCTCCTCTGCCTTTGTAAAGAAATAATTAATAAATGAATTTTTCATTGATGACTCAAAGTAATCCCTGTAACACAAAAGTCAGGCAGGCTGTGGTGGCTCACACCTATAATCCCAGCATTCTGGGAGGCCGAGGCAGGTGGATCACCTGCGCTCATGGGGTCAAGACCAGGCTGAGCCACAGTGAGACCAGTCTCTAAAAATAGCTGCGTGTTGTGGAGGGCGCCTGTAGTCCCAGCTACTCAAGAAGCTGAGGCAACAGAATCACTTGAACTCAGGAGTTTGAGGTTGCTATGAGCTGTGATGCCACAGCACTCTATCAAGGGAGACAAAGTAAGACTCTGTCTCAAAAAAAAAAACAAAACACAACAATTAAAGAGCGGGTGCATTAGGACTGTGGAGCTGAAGGGTGCCCCACACAATCCTCTCCTGTTGCAGACAAAAAATCTGCATGGTCACCGGCATATTCCTAAAGCAACATAAATGCGCCTAACACAAATGGATTTTAAAAATGAACACGACGCCAAGATGTGACAGTGGTGATATTTTAAACACTCCAGTCATTAGGTATCTCAGTTACACCGTAACTCGATGATAAAAATCACACTCACTTGGGTTTTGCAGAGGAAGACTCATCTCACGATCTGGGAGCCACTCTTTCTGTTCACCCTGTGTAGATTTTTTCCCATCTTTCCTTTTACTTTCCTGATAGAAAGTTCTCAATGTTTCTCCAAGATTTTCGAAGCTTAGGTCTTGAAAGCTGGACACCTTATTTACCCATAGTGAAAATTTCTTGCGATCATCATCAGAGACCCCACACTCTTTAAGAAAGAGGGAACAGATTTCTTTTTGGCATGGTGGTCCCATGTCAGACCGTAAGAAATAAGAAGGAAATCCCTGAACATGATAGCACCTTGATCCCCCAGGCTTCACTTGCACCTTCACTCGCCACCAAGGACCCGTTATTGGAAAACGTCCAAACACAGCACATTGCTCTTTAGTGTTTTCATCAGGAATCAAAACTAAAAAAAAAAAAAAAAAAAAAAAGTTAGGAGACTTAACAACTTCTTCCCCAATGTTTCATCAAACTTACCACTGTCTTTAGTTCTCTCCATAGCACCCTGCACAGAGATTTATTAGGGTGCCCACACCCCCTTACTCTGCCTGACTCCCTGCGCTCAAGGTGAGGTTACCTCTGTAGGTGAGCACAGTGCATGTGAAATGTCTGCCATTCCTCTTCTAGAACCAGTCCCTGCTCCCCTGACCTCAGTCAACACGGGCCCTCACAGGTGACCATTAAGAGAAAACAGGAGGCCTGACCTGCCCCACAGGCCCAGTCTCCTCCTCACCATGTTACTACAGGCCTCAGCCGGATTTCCTTTTCAAGAGAGCCTTCCTTGAGTCTCACAAATACGCCCTCTCATGCACCCCTCACTACTCCTTCTAAGCCAGGGGTTCTCAACCTTCCTAATGCTGCGACCTTTAACACAGTTCCTCATGTTGTGGTGACCCCCAACCATATATTTTCGTAGCAAAAATAATTTTCAGAACCACAGTTCTAAGCACTAAGAACATCACAGTTACTTCTGTGGCCATAGTTCCTGGCGGTCAGCTCCCTGAGGACGGCAGCCCTGGTCACTTTGTCTCTCCAGGTTATCCAGGAACCAAACACATTGCTGGGAACATGCCAACCACTCGATAATACTTTAGGACAAAAGACAAAACCCTTCACAAATACTTGAAAGTGTTCTGTCTAAACTCATACTGTCCACCTACATGTGGCTATTTAAATCAAAATTAAAGTTATAATTCAGCTTCTCAGGCGAGCTGCCTGCACATCCAACTGGAACAGGTAGGGGCCAGAGGCTGCTTCCTACACTGGGCGGTGAGGCAGAGACGGATGGGGAAGATGGGGAGGCAAAGACGGACAGGGAGGAACAGACAGATGGGACAGAGACAGACTGACAGATGGAAAGAGGACAGACAAGGAGGGGCAGACGGACAGGGAAGGAACAGGGGAACAGGCAGAGGGACAGATGAGGGATAGACAGGGAGGGACAGATGGACGGGGAGGGTCAGGCGAAAGGACGAGGGACAGTGAGGCAGACGGACACCGCCGCATCGCCCGCCCAGCCAGGTCTGTACAACGCAGGGCCCTGGACTACAGGTCACGAAGGACACCGCACAGGCAGCTGCACCAGGGCGCCGACGACCACCTCACTAATAAACACTGGCCAGTCAATAGCGCCCCGTGCGCTCTCTGCGTGTTTCCCTAAGAACCCAGGAACAGTCCGTGTGTTGCGCCAGGAGGTTTCGGCAACAGTGACAGGTCCTGGTTCTGCCGTGACCCAGGTTCAGAGAACCGCGAACGCTGACGAGTAATAAGCCGAGCGCAGCTGGACGGGCGGCTGCTGTCATTATCCCCATCTCGTCTTAAGCAGCATGAAGCGCCTAGGAGGCTGGAGGGAAGTCCGCAGGGCACTCTGCGAACAGCGACCGGCGCTCTGACCAGAGCACAGGCGCAGCGCAGCGCAGGCGCCCGGGGAGCCTCCCACACACACTGCGCAGGCGCCCGGGGAGCCTCCCACACACACCGCGCAGGCGCCCGGGGAGCC